GTAGGCTTTACCCCAGTGTGGAGCAGAACATGGGTCTTGAACTCATGACCCTGAGATCAAGACCTGAACTGAGAGAGGCGCTTGGGTGGCTCAGTCGGTTGGGCATCCGACTTCAGCTCAGGTCATGATCTCATGGTTCATGAGTTTGAGTTCCGCATCAGGCTCTGTGCTATTAGCACAGATTCAGCCGTCTTCAGATTCTGTCTCCCTTTCCCTCTCTCCCCTCCTCGTGCTCTGTCTCTCTCTATCAAAAATAAACTTTTTTTTAATTAAAAAAAAAAAAATCTGAGTTGAGATCAAGAGTTGGACGCTTAACCGACTGAGCCAGCCAGGCGCCCCAGAACTGTATTATTTAACATGCCCATTAGACCAGCTCTTGCTTACCTGACAGGTGTTTATGATTGTCTGCTGACCTGGTTTTTACCTTTTTAATGAGTTTGGGGAAAGTATACTCCCTTCTGTCATAATAGCACTTAAAATTTTTGCTTTGTGTCTCATCCAGCTTTAGCATTTGGGAGAAATAGCAATAACTTAGGAGGTTGACATTAATGCTGATTGTGAGTTTAAAGTTCTGACTTTAAACCAGCTAACTGTGGACCTTGGGGAATCACTTAACCTTCTTAGTCATAGGCTTACCATTTGTCAAATTAGAGTTGAACTAAATCTCTGACATACTTTGTCACTTTAAAATTCTGTGATTCTGTGTTCTGACATTGAGTCAAGTGTCAGACTTATAAAGTAGTAAGCACAATGTCTGAACATAGTAGTATACGCTCAGTAAGTTGAAGCTATTTTGAAATATTAGGACATTTTCTCACAACGAGTTTTCAGGATTTTGATCATCTTGATAACATAATTGAAATCAACCAAGAAGTTTTTATTCATTTTTATTTGGGTATCCCTGCTCTTGACTACTTCTGCACAGCCCTGACCAGTAGGGAAAACTCCAGTGCCTCGTGACTGTTCTTTATCTCTACATTTTGGACTCATCTCATGACTGCCTTCTCAAAAATGTTTGGGCAATAGCATATTGAAAAAAAAACAGGAGCAACTGGTAGTAGGAGGTCTCTAGTAAAGTGTCTAGATTAATTCTTTATAAATATTAAAAACAGATTTGTATCCTGAACAGGCTTGTGGGTATCTGCTTTATATTAAAACTATTCTGAAATAGCTATTGATAAAAAGTTAGAAACAAGTGCCCATTTGGATTGACAGGGGAAAAAGAAACTAGAAATTATGGACTTTATGCTTTTAGAATAATAGAGTTAAGAGGGTTTCTTAGCCACCATCTAGTGTAGCTGATGACTCATAGAATTCCTTCTGAAACATCAAGCTCTCATTCGAAAACTGTCACAGTAGGGGTGCCTGGGTGGCTAAGCATCCGATTTTGGCTCAGGTCATGATCTCGTGGTTTGTCGGTTCAAGCCCCACATCGGGCTCTGTGCTTACAGCTTGGAGCCTTAAGCCTGTTTTGGATTCTGTGTCTCCCTCTCTCTCTGCCCCTACCCTACTTGAGCTTTCTCTCTTTTTCTCTCTCTCTCAAAAATAAACATTAAAAAAAAAAAAACTTAGAAAACTGTCAGAGTAGAAAGCACTGGTTCTCAAGGCAGTTCATCCAGTTGTTGAATTCTGGTCCTATGGAAGCTGTTTCACTGAACTTAAATCTGTTTTTCTGTGCTTGTTTCCTTCATATGACAGTCCATACATCTGCCCTGTGAGCATTAAATTTCCTTCCAGCCTCCCAGCTTAGTCCTCTCTCTTCTGCTCTCACACTATTGACTTCCCCTGCTCTCTTATTTGTCCTATTTTTGTTTTTCCTTCACAGTGCCTTCCTTACATCTTCCTACTTCCATCTTCACAATGTAAATAGAAACTACAAACACAAATAAGTAGCAAAACAATTTTACTCTTTCACTCCTTTACCAAATAACTTTATTCCTTTACCAAAATACATTTTAAACAAATAAATCCCTGGCAGCTACTGCACAGCCATGACCAAAAAGGAGAACTCTAGCTGCTGACTGCTGGTGACCTGCTGTAACTCATTTGAAGTCCCTTTATTATTAAGATAACTATCCTTATCCCAAGACCTAAGCTGAAATACCCTTTTCACAAAGTATTATTGGTAGGTTAATCATGATTTGTAAATACATAATTAGGATTGATTTTTCTCAGTGTTTCTTCATCGTTCAGCCCCTTTCTAACCTTCATTGACTGAAACCAGATGCTTATATCACCATCTCTGATTTTGCAGAATTGATCTGTCCTTACACTACATTTAACATTGATTCTGCATGGAAACTCAAATTGGTTTTGGTTTTGGTGAATATGCATTCCATTGCTTTTTCAGTTTGTACCATGCAGGATAACTTTAACCTAACTAGTTAATTGAAAGAAATATGGTAAATTCCGTCAGTGGGCAGTATTCTAATAAAAAAATAGTTAAAATCTCCTATCAATATTTATAAGAAAGACTACAGAAGTTAGTATTGGATTTTATTTGATTGGTTTGAAAGGAACAAGGCAGATTCATTTCTATCTAAACAGAACCCTCTTGAGAAATGACACAGCTGGAGCTTCTGGCTAAAATTTGATCATTACAGTATAAGTATATTTGTTTAGATGTTTGAAGGTCAAGGATGCTCTTTCTGTAACAGCTGTTTCAGATCTTAAGAACTGAAATGAGAATGTTTCAATTTTTGGTTAAATTTGGTTAGATTTGTTGCCATAAACAGACAATGAAGAATCAATTGGTGATAATAATACAGGATTCCATTTAGCTAAAGATTGCACAGGTAATTTCAAGAAGTCTCCGCTACTGGCATCTATCAGAGGGGACTCCAGACAAGATCCAGATGAAGAATCGTGGTGGCATAGACTGGGGTGAGAGAGGTGGGGGCAGTTAGAAGTGATCAGATTCAGGATATGGTTAATGTAGAGCTGTCAGAATCTACCATTGGGTGTGAGAGAAAGAGATGTTGGGTAACCTCAAGCTTTTGTGTCTGAACTACTCGTAAAATGGAGTCGCCAGTGTGTAACATTATCTAACAGTGGTTACTGAAGGAACCAGGTTCTTTATACATTTAGACACTTGTGCTTGACAGACCTTTGTAGTCACTAAATAAAGCTTACGTAAGAAACACATTGGAATTTGTGAAAGAGACTGGGTGTTAATATTATATGCAGACCAAAGGGGCACTCGATTACATATAAACTTAATAGTAGGGAGTGTCATGCAGAACCTGTTAGTTGTTAGATGTTTTCTATTAAGTAATTTATCATCAGTTTAACTAAAAATATTTATTCCAAAGTGAAACTTGAAAACCTCGGTGTTTATTAATTGTCTAACCTCTTAATTGTTGATACTGTTATAAAAATGCTTCTGGGTATGTAAGTGGATCAGGGACACTAATTTTTTTCCTATTTTGTTTTGGATTTTATTTATTTATTTTTTTATGTTTATTTATTTTATTTTTTTTTAAATATTTTATTTATTTCTAGGAGAGAGAGAGAGAGACAGTGTGAGCAGGGGAGGGTCAGAGAGAGAGGGAGTCACAGACTGAAACAGGCTCCAGGCTCTGAGCTGGCAGTCAGCACAGAGCCCGACGCGGGGCTCGAACCCACGAACCATGAGATCATGACCTAAGCGAAAGTCGGACACTTAACCGACTAAGCCACCCAGGCGCCCCTATGTTTATTTATTTTTGAGAGAGAGCATGAGCAGGAGAGGGGCAGAGAGAGGACAGAGGATACCAAGTAGGCTTGGCATTTACAGCAGACAGCCCGACACAGGACTCAAACTCACAAACCAACCATAAGACCATGACTTGAGCTGAAGTCGGAGGCTTAACCAACAGAGCCACTCAGGCACTCATAGATTTTATTCAACTAAAAAAATACATACTTTTAGAGAGAGAGAGAGAGCACAAGTCAGGAAGAGAGGCAGAGGAAGAGAGAGAGAATCTTATGTAAGCTCCATGCTCAGCACGGAGCCCCATGCAGGGCTCAATCCCATAACCCTGGTACTATGACCTGAGCTGAAATCAAGAATGGGATACTCAACCATCTGAGCCACCCAGGTGCCCCTTATTCAAATTTATTTATTAAAAATTGCACTTGTTTTTGAGGGGGGAGATTATTTTTTAAGAATTGCACTTGTTAAATAACAAGTTTTCATGTTGGACTCCAGTCTTCCCTCCATATTTATGTAATCATATAAAAAGGTATTTGTAAAGTACAGTCATGTCCATTATTTCTACATTGGAAAAATAGAAACTGGCCTTTCAATTTTGATGTATATAACCAAAGGAGTTAAAATTCTGTTTATTTGTACTCTTAGATGGTAGCCTCCTTGAAGCAATTCTTCCTAGTGGGAATTCCCAAGAGCACTCATTTTTGCTTTTGAGACAATTCTTTGAGTAATGATTTTATTATCTGAGGTAGAGATTTTTAGTTACAGCTTGGTTGGCAGAGATGGCATTCTGTAAGATGAAATTCACTACTACATTTTTCAATCATACACCTGGTAGACTCTATACTTTTGTATGACTATAAAAGAGATAAACAGTAGCACCTATGTTACAAGTTACTGACAGGGTTTTAATTAGTTCATCCAGAAAGTGCCTAGAACAGTGCCCAGGATACAGTGTTCAATAAATGTCAGCTATTATTCAAACGGGAAGTTTGATTCTAAGGTAAATGGATGATGTGTTTAACCCTGTAGTCCAAAAACTGTAAACATAGATTTGTTGTTCTTTTTTACATAGTACATACATATTTTGATAATGTTCTTTTGAATATAATGAGATTTTTATTCTTTGTTTTTACAGAAACTTTAGCAAAATATTTAATACATAATTTAAATTGTTCTTTTTTCCTCTTACATGTAGAGATAGTTGTAAACTTTTTTTTAAAATGATACTGTGTCTTATACTTTATGTATCTAGCACTTTGATTTTGAGAACGTGTTTTGACCCCAAATTATGATTTTGTCATTGCAGGCAAGAAGACAACAAGACCCTAGTCCTGGTTCCAATTTAGGTGGTGGTGATGACCTCAAACTTCGTTAATTAGCACAGCAGATGTGCCCACCCATCTTTACATTTATATTGTTTCTAGTCAGCAGAAATAATCATTAAAAGACCAGAAACTGTGATAACTGGAGGTACCGCGGTCTATTTCTCAACCTTAGGCAGTAACAAGACATCACAAACTGCCATGGTTTTGCACTATGATTATAATACCTGCATTTCTGATTTTGTATGCATGTAGCCAGTAATTTGAAATTTTTTTCTATGCAAGCTTACCTTGTTGGCATTATTTTAAATGAGTTGAAACTGTCCACTTGTAAAGCTCTTTTTTTCCTCCATTTTAATTTAAAAGTTTTTTGTCATTTAAAAGCAAATCAAGAAATTAAAATTTTTGTCAGAGGGTTTTTTCCCCTAATCGGTTGTTCTAATTATTTTTGGAATTTTAAATGTGTTGGTTATACAGCTTCATTTTAGATAGACATTCTTGGTTATTTGTTTTGTTTCTGTGTTTTTATAGTCTATGGCATTTTAAAACTGCTGATGTGTTTGCATTATTTACAAGCTAAAGACCTAGTAGCATAGAACTGTCTGCCACAGCCTTTTAACACAAAGTTTACAGTTGTTAAAGTTTCAGTATCCTTTTAAATGTTGATAATCAACTCCTTTTTCTTTCCTCCTTAAACATAAAGTTTTTTAATTGGTATTAACTCTAATCTGCCCCAGATCTGTTTTACATTCTGTTCTGTTATCATGAGTTTGTGTGGAGATAACTCTCCATAGATGGTAATACTCTACTGAAATGCCTAAAGAAGTCGCAGGCTGGCTTCTGTTTTATTCAGGGATTTTTTTTTTTTAAGTCAATCAGAAAAGGGATACTGGAGCTCCTTCATGTATGTAACAGCATATTAAACTGGAGACAGTGATGAATCAGCTACCAAGGTAATATTGTATTAAAATCATGTTTAAAATAGCTGCTTTTATGTGTATTTTATAATGCATGCTTTTGTAAAAACAATGCTGGGTGATGAAAGATTAGTCTTAGAGAGAAAATGTTCATCTGTGCAGAGGATACATTTTCTTCGTTAATTATTCTGGAAAAAAACTCACAGGTTATATATATGGTATTTTCCAGAAGGACTATTAGTAGAACCTTTTGAAATGAATTAGTATAAGAATATTTTTTAAATAGGCTCACTATCAAATTGAATGCAACTTTTTTTTTTTTTTTAATACAAGACTGGAAAAAAGTGCTAAGTCATTTGGCACCTCCTCAAAAATATTTTTTCATGGTCACATTCATTAAATGTTACTACATTTCTGAATTTTTGCAAAAATGTATTTTATCATAATAGAATGACATTATTTTAAGGAGTTTGAAAAACTGACATGGTCAATTCAGAAAAGGAACTGAAGTCTGAATAAGGTCATTGCATTTAAAACACACACACACACACACACACACACATATACTTGATTGAAGAGGGAGGTGTGACTTTCATTGTATATAGGTCTTATGATTCATAAACATATCCTGTATCTCAGAATAAAAATATTTGTTATATATTTGAAGTCATGCATGGTAAGGAGTGTGTTTAAATTGTTATAAACAATGCATCATAACGGACCATGCTGATCTTGTGTAACTAAGTACTATGAATGAATTTGGTTGGTATTTGGTGTTGTGCAGCTCACATGTTTACACACTCAGTGCCCTAATTTCCCCTGAGGAAATCGCCTTTTAAGTGGCCCTTAGTGGTGTTTTAAGGTTACTTTATCACAGAGCTCCTTGGTTTTTTGACTTCTGCACTTAATTTTTTTAATAACATGTGATGATGGTACATTTTTCTCTACTGCTTCTAGCTAAGGGCTTTCATTCCACCAGTAACTATGATCAAATGTTATTAAATGTTCATATCACCACCCTCTGTAAATACTCGATTTTTCCTGTCATTTAGCACAGTGCTGCTTCCATCTGTCTTAATGCTGGCATTAAGATCATAAGCTCTTTTTCTCCAGTAGTGCAGACTTTGAAAACTTTTATTAAGTTATTGATGCAATTTGATATTTTTCCATGATCTATATTTAAACCAAATTACATCATTGCATCATCTTTTCTAAATTCATCTCCATTGAAACTTGCCTTAAGCTGCCAGATTGCTTTTGCCACCATTAGCCATATTGTATGTTTGTATGTTTAATTTACTTTCCAATAAACTTCTGTGTAGTGGAAAAAAGGTCTTGGCTCTTCATTGACATTATCCAACAGTTTCTGTTATGGTACTCATTATGACATGAAAATTGACTTTGTTGTTTCTGAAATGTTCTTTCATCCTTTTTTTCCTTTTTTTGACCTTAATAAAAAACAACAGTGGCATCTAGTGGTCATTTCCGCTGATTTCAAAGAAAATCTTTAATGGAAGTATCACAAAGAATACTAACTTCCCAGTGTTTTATGGTCTTTTAAAAAAAAATCTGGTTTGATACACCCATCCTATGAGATACAACTATGAAGTACTGACCTTGCAGGAGAAGAATTTCAAAAACTACACATTCAGATTAGTACCATTATTCAAGGTAGTCTAATTAATTTGATTGTGCTGGTGTTATATCAACCATACTTAGGGAATTTAAAAAATTTTAATGTTTATTATAATTTTTTTAATGTTTATTTTTGAGAGACAAAGAAGGAGACATAGAATCCAAAGCAGGCTCCAGGCTCTGAACTGTTAGCACAGAGCCTGACGCGGGGCTCAAACCCATAGACCATGAGATCAGGACCTGAGCCAAAGTCACATGCTCAACAGACTGAGCCACCCAGGCACCCCTTTAATGTTCAGAGAAAGAGAGTGGGGAGGGACAGGGAGAGGAAGACACAGAATCCAAAATGGGCTTCTAGTGCTGAGCCGTCAGCACAGAGCCTGATTCAGGACTCAAACCCACGAACTGTGAGATGATGATCTGAGCTGAAGTCAGACGCTTAACTGACTGAGCCACTCAGGGGCCCCAGCTTAGGGTTTTCTTGGCATTTTTCTTACACCAACCTTTTACTTTAGAAGCATTCCTTAAGCTTGATTCATAATGAAACAATTTACTCATTCACCACCAGATTTTCTGCACATAACAAATACAAATGGTAAGCAAAATTCCAAAGGATGAGATTCATACTCTGAGGGTTAATTTAAAAAATTGTTAGAGCAGTAGCATCATGGTTTTAGTAAGTATATCATCTCTAGAAATGGGTATTTGGTTATGCTAGTTTGGGGTTACTTGGGAAAATAAGTTTATTAATTGATTTATGCCTTATTTGGCAATGAAGAGCTTTTTCAAGTTCTAAGCCCTTGTATGAATTATCCATTGCTGTGTAATACATTGCTCCAAATCCTAGCAGCCTAAAACAATAATCATCTTCTCATAGTTTCTGTGGGTCAGAAATCTGGAAGAAGTAGGGGTGCCTGCGTGGCGCAGTTGGTTGAGCGCCTGACTCTTGATATTAGCTCAGGTCATGAACCTACAGTCATGGGATTGAACCCCACATAGGGCTCTACACTGAGCATGGAGCCTACTTAGGATTATCTATCTATGCATCCATCCATCCATCCATCTATCTATCTCCTCCTCCCCTTCTCTCCCACTTGCATACTCTCTCAAAAGAAAAATATGGAAGAAGCAAAGTTCAGTGGTCTGGTCCAAGGTCTCTCCTGAGGTTAAGAGTTTTAAGTTTTCAGCCCAGGCTACAGTCATCTCAAGGCTTGGCTGTGGCTGAAGGATCCCCTTCCAAGCCCACTCATTGCCTGACCTCAGTTTCTGAGAGACCATTGGGTGAAAGCCTTTGATTTCTTGCTAGGTTTTGGAATGGAAACCTCCTTCAGTTCCTTGCCATGTGAGTGTCTCCAGAGGACAGCTCATAGTTTAGTAGCTGGCTTTCCATGGAGCTAGTGGTTCAAGATGAAAGCCACAATCTTTCTAATAACCTAATCTTGGAGTGCCATGTTCTAGGTTAGAAGTGAGTCACTAGGTCAGGCCCACACTCAAATGGAGGAGTATTAAGCCTCATCTCTTCAAGGGTGGCGTGGCAAGAGTGGACATATTTTTAAATCATCACTGCCACATCTATGTGTATGTGTGTATTTATATGTATGTGTGTGTATATGTATGTATATATATAATTGAGTATTAAAGACAACATTGATGTTTTGATCTCCCAAATATTTCAGTCTTGCAGGCAGATTTCAAGGTATGATTACCCCTAGATAGCATCAGTTCTCTTTCTTACAGCACTACCACTATACATATATAGCATTCCAAAAATGTATCAAAGGCTAAAAAAAATTTCAAATGGAAGGTGAGACTGTGAGTGAAAATGGTAGTTTGGCTTTTTTTAATGTTTTTATTTATTTTAGAGAGAGTGCGAGCAGGGGAGGGGCAGAGAGGGAGAGAGGGAGATAGTAAATCTGAAGCAGGCTCTGGGCTTAAACCACGAGATCATGACCTAAGCTGAAGTCAGATGCTCAACAGACTGAGCCACCCAGGTGCCCCATACTTTGGCTCTTTTAAACATAGGATACTTCTTATATTTATTTAAAAAAATTTTTTAGTGCTTTTATTTATTTCTGAGAGGGAGAGAGAGACAGCGTGAGCAGGGGAGGGTCAGAGAGAGAGGGAGACCCAGAATCTGAAACAGGCTCCAGGCTCTGAGCTGGCTGTCAGCACAGAGCCAACATGGGGCTCAAATCCATGAGCCATGAGATCATTACCTGAGCTGAAGTCAGACACTTAACCCGACTGAGCCACCCAGGTGCCCCTATAGGATACATTTTAAACAGTTGCTGTATTTGTTAACTCTCAACTTTTGGCTAAAGTAATTTCAGCAACTTAGGGTCATTATTGGCCTTATTCAGGTTCAGAAACATTAGGAAATGTGAGCAGAAAAGATAGAGAAATTTTTGGCTAGAGAAGATAATCTCTACCCACATTGTCTCCAGTATAGTAGCTACTAGCCACGTGTGGCTCTTGAACAGTTGAAATAGGGCCAGTACAACCAAGAAACTGATGTTTTAACTTTTTTTTTTTTTTTTACTTGACAAGTATTTATTGTAAGCCAACTATGTGCCAGGCAATTTTCTAGAGATGAATAAAATGGACAAAGTTCCTCTTCTAATAAAGTTTCCATCTGCTGGGGCAGAAGAACAATTGGTCATTAATTAAATGGTAATGTGATAGATGGCTGTGAATGAACTAAAATAGCATCATGGTATAAATGGTGATTAAGTCATATAAAGGCAGAGTTAGGATGGGAAGAGAAGACGTGTCAGGAAATAACA